AAAAAAAAACTTTTAATCTAAGGATTTGTGATATCCTTACATGTTTGTCATATCTTTACAAAGAAAGCTACAAGTTTTTACTCATGTTCAATATATAATTGTTCAGCTGTTATTTCAGGATAAATGGGGCCATTTATCTTTTTCTTATCAGAAAAGAAAAAATCCCAAATGAAGTTACTGTTGTCTTATGCATGTGGTGAGAGATGGTTCTTCACAAAGAGACAGGAAATAAAACAAAAAAAACGTGCTTTAATTTTTCTTGTGGTAACTAATACAAGAAAGGTTCATACGGATTCCGACCTCCTAATTCCTTAATTCAAAAAAATACACCTGTTCCGATACACAGCAGAACAAGAACTCTCGCGATACAAAAATTTCCTTATTATCTAACTTAAATCTACTTATTCTAAAAATATAAGAGAGAAAAAAAGGGATAGAACATGAGAAAGACAGAAATATATTCTCTAGAAGGAACGGGTACCCGAATTGGCGATCGATGTGGAGCAGTTGGATGACATTGTCTTGGGATGTCTTTCGGGGACGTCTGTGGAAATTGATGGAAAAATGTCTGGGATCCTTAGTCTACCAATGTCCTTAATAACGATCTCCTTTCTTCAGAACTGTTCGTGACCCTTTTTCAGGTGGAGCAACACCGACCTGGAGACCTTTCTCATATACGTCTTTCCTTTTCTAGACCCAAAGCAAAAGTGACCTTCTGGTCTCCTACTTGCCCTCTGGGCTCTTTCTTTTCCTTGTCCCCTAACTAGGTCACCCACCCCCCACAGTTAGAAGAAAGTTCCAGGAAGTATAGACAAAGGAACATAGAACAAAGAAGGAAAGGGATGGAAAAACAATACATATAAAAATATAAAATTTACACTGGTGTATCACCACATTACATATGGAGTTGTAGCACATAAGATGCGCTAATTTATGTGCGCATCTTATGTGCTACAACTCCATATTCCAATTTAACAACAAGACCTATTTACAAAAACGAGGGGTACCCATGGGCAGCCCACTGTCTAGCGACTTATGTGAGCTGGTATTACGTAGATTGGAAGAAACAGTCATACCAAAGTATAGTTCTAATATAATTATTTATAAGAGATATGTGGACGATGTCTTTATTCTGTGGAAAATGAAACCACACATCAATGAGTTTTTGAGCCACATGAACAAAAATCCATACGGGCTGACCCTGAAACTAGATCAATTAACAACCATCAATGCACACTTCCTAGACATAAACATCATGCTCAACGGTGGAAGTATTGATACGGGTATATATTATAAACCCAGCTACATCCCATGGTTTATACCGGCAAACTCAGCGGACCCGTACAATTATAAAATCGCAGCATTCCGGGCATTGGTTAGAAGAGCATTTATGCACCCTTCTAAATGGAGTGACACGATAACTGAGTTACAAAATATAGAACGCATTGCAGTCGCACATGGATACAGAAAAGAACTAATACGAGGACTGGCAAATGCCTATTTACGAACACATGAAACACAAGAGGCACCCATTACTCAAAATGCTAATCAAGATTCAAAGAGAAGACTCAATATCGTTGAATACAGCAAACAATTTCAAGCGTTATGTAGAGAAATTGCAACTAAAACGAACACCAAGGTAGCGTACTGAAGTACCCCCAATATATATCAATTACTACGTAATGCAAGCAAAAGACAAATAGAACAATCTTAGAGCTCCGGGGGTATATAGTATTCCTGTAAAAGATGATCAATTTAAACAAGAAATGGTATACATAGGCTCCACGAAGCGTTCAATCCAACAGAGAATTAAGGAGCACAAATATGACATAGAACATGCTCGATACACCACTGCACTATCCACCTACGCAACCAACCCGGATATTCACGCAGAACTATCAAAAGTCAAATTACTAAATAGAGCTTTTAATATGGACCACATCAGAGCCCTTGAAGCCCTGGAAATCTACAAAGCTGGCAGGACGGGGAGATGTATAAACACCAAAGACGGCAATATGCTTTCTTATGCTTCGCGTTACATATGCGAAGAACAACAAAACGATGACGATACGTAACACGCGCATGAATTCGATTATATTTGAAAACTAAACGTTCATTCTAAAAAATGGAATCCAAGTATTTTAACCTGAAGCAGGCCTCGACTGAGGCCGAAAACGTTTGTTTTTACAAATAATTTACAAGTACTGGACAATAAAGGTTTAGTAAGTGCGATTCCATTTATAGAAAATGTTCCATGAATAAGCATTCCATTTAAAATTTAACTTTAGAAGTCTTTAGAATACTTTTAACTTCAAAAGTATTATAATACTTTTGTAAATAGAATGTGACTTTAAGTTAGCATTCAGTTGTATGTGTCAGAAGAGAGAAAGGAAAGTGACTTTGAAATAAACTGTAATGCTTTCAGTGTAAAAGTTGGAAGCATCAAAAATCATTCTTTATTATATGCAGAAGAAAAAATACTTTTATACAGATTGTTGAAAAAAATGGAATATCCTGTTATT